ACTTTGGTTGAGATGCTCAACAGTGGAGTTGGAGGCCTTTGAGGTTTTGAAGATGTTTAGACCACCTTATCTACACCTGTCCTGGTTTCTTAGGTTTTACACTTAGGCTGGCGTGTGGCAAACCGCAATCGAGTCAGTACACATTTCCTAAGTGTGTGTGTGTGTACGTATCTTTGTGTGCGTGTGTGCTGTGTGCTCATGTACTTAGACTTTTTCAGCTATATATATACTCGCGATCTCTGGGAGAAGGTTTCTCACACGTACCTGTCTTGATGTGGCTGTCTGTGGTGTTATTATGCTGCACTGCGCTTTTGGCTTGCTGCCTTTCACTTTCACACACATTTCCGCGCGTCACTTTGCAGTTCCATTTCTCTAAAAACAGCATTTCTTGTCAACTTATCTGTCAACTTATCTCCAGTCAGATCGGCACTTTGGTACAGCAAACTGCAAATAGCAAACCAGTCGAGGATACACCCTCTATTGGTGGCTGCGGCTGCACAACAGGGCCTCCGGCTGCAAGAATGTGGTGCTGCCAGCATGAAAGGACTGTATATTATATTGCTGCTCACAGCAGATTTCATCCCCGCCTTCTACATCAGGTCCTGCAACAAGAATTGAGTGACAGGCTTGAAGAAGCTGATGTTGAGTCTCTAAACGTCAGTCGTTCTTTCAATTGCAGGAATGACTTGCAGAGTGCTTTGCCTCAGCATTCAACCTCTATTTGACAGCAGCACAAGGCTGGAGTATTGCTTTTGAACCAAATAGCAGGAGGGATCCAGCTTTCAAAGCTTTTGAAACCAGGGTGTCCGAGCTGTAGGATAGTTTGTTGGAAAACTGAAAAGGTCTCTTAGCCTCGCACGAACTGCACACTAGCTTCAGGACAGCTTGCCATGGGAGGAGCTGTTCTAACCATCCCACGAAAAATCACGCTCCACTCAAGATTTCAGCCATCTCTTCATCCTCCAAATAGCCAGCCTGCACTTCCAACACAAAAAATCACTAAGCTCTCGGACTCTATGTGGCAAGTTGACACGAAGGCAACAAGGACACACAAAGACAGGAGCAATGGATGGTAGTGGTACGCGGTGGCTTTTTGGGAAGTAAGTGCAGGGCATAGTAGGGCAAAGAACAAATAAAGGCTGCACCGAAACTGTGAAGGATCCTTCAATTGAAGGCAAGATATCACGATCCCGCAAAGTGTAGCCCGGCCTCCTCGTCATCCACCATGCGAGAAAAACCGCGAAAGTCCAAACCCTCTGTTGGGTTGCAACCAACTTCTGTACAAATCATCACATACTCCTTGAAGGGCATCAATGGGCGTCATTTGGAGGCAAACTAGTGTGACCGAGCAGTGAAGGTCAACCTAGAAAATGAATGCCTTTGTCTTTCCCTTTGGCATTGGTCTCTCTTTGCAGCATGGCAAATCTAACACTCTAAGACCCCACGGTGGGAGCATGTTTGAAGTCGTGGGAAAATACACCAACCTTGAAGTCTTGTTGTCATTTACGGGAAGACCGAAACAAATGTTTTGTGTCCTGCGTCCACTCAGAGTCGTTGCCTTCGAAACCCATCACGGCAGCAAAGTTTTTCAGTTCCTCACTATAGAGGAAACCGTCGCCATCAAGATCCTGAAAATCAGTAGGACACACTTGCCCGCATTCTCTCACTGCAACAAACTTGTCTTGATGTTTGTCCTAGCAACTGCGTTTCTTTGACCTGTCACACTGGCTGGCCGGAGATTGCAATGAGTATACATCATGTACAAAATAGCCCGAACGTATCAATCAAAGAAGCATGCGAGAGTCCGATACATCTGGAACAATATCAAGAACAGTTTCTTGCAAGAAATCAACTCTGTATCTTGCAACCCTTAAATCTTCTCTAAAGGAATGTGAATTTGCAAATCGCGTTGGCCATGTTCAACAGGAGTACCAAGGTATTTAAACTGAAAAGGGTGACATGCCAAACGTCGGATCTTCTTCGAGTAAAAACTACCCAACAGTTTTCACTGCAATCTGTTCTCTCGTGGAAAAAGCATCCAAGGAACAAAGCGTTGGAAGAGCTCAGCTTTCATGGAGATGCGTGAAGGTGAAGCCCCTCCCGAGCCTTCTGCCATTGCCTCCAGTTCCTGGAGCACAGTTCTATGCAGGCAGCACGTGCTTTAGCGCCGTTAGCCAGTCATTCCTAGGACCTCTTCATACCTCTTCTCTCCATTCCTGTACAGCCATTTTGGGTTTATCTGGTTGTTCTCCTGCCACTTAGTTGCCATGCATTTGAACACAGTCCGCAAGGGCATCAAGGATGAATACGGTCAATCCGGTGCAGCTTTCCAGAAGCACATCATGTATGCTCTTCTATCCAGTGATAACAAAACAGACCTTCATGACTGATGTTCTTCATGCAGTATGGCATGCTGAAGATATGGAGGTGCTCAAAACGCAGAGCCTCTTGTACACTACACCAAGAAGAAGCTAAGAACACTTACTTGTGTGTGTGTACTGAGAACTCCTCCATGAGCATCAATGGCAGAACCTCTACCATGCTTCTCTGAAGTCTTTCATGGAAGTCAATGACCTTAACAAAGTGGGTGGTAGGGGCAAATTGATGGGGATAAAACTGCTGTAGGCAAAGGTGGGTGTTCGTGTCGGCAAGCCCGCGTCCCAGCTTGAAGAGGCGCTCTGCGAGGATAGCAAAAAAGGAGTCATGCAAAACCACATGGAAAAGGGCAGCAAGGCCGTGTGCAGGCCAAGGCAGGAAGTGCCAAGGACAAGGGAAAGTCAAGCAGCACACAGTGGATGTGGTTTGGGGTGGAATGCGCGACGGACAAGTCGCAGCTTGTACACATGGCAAATAGCAAAGGTTGCTGCTGCTGTGTTTCCTGGTCCCTCTGAGGCACCTAAGAAGAAACTTGTGGACACGATGTGGGGAAGGAGGTTCTGGGGAAAAAACACATCAAGCCGCACTCAAAAGTGGCAGCTGATCGGTGGACAGCCACCGAGAGCGCATGCAAAGACCTGAAACTCCCTCTCAAGCAGTGCAACCATGCAGGGCTAGCGGATAAGGATGGGACTCACTCCAACAATGCTGAGTCTGAGGTAGCTCGTTTCAAAAATGTGGAGCAGAAGTAAGTGGAGCAAAGTCTGTTCCAAGCTCCAGCAGCACTTCTGTGAAGCAAGAGAAGTTGGACAGCGCCGTTTGGCTTTTCGATTTTAATGCAGGGGGCTATAGCACATTGTGGCAAGACTCCTGCCAAGCGAAGATGCTTGCAATTGGTAAAGCCAGACCTGATCAGTCTGGCGCACCTGCTGCGTTTACTGGGCCCACTCGCCCGTTCGTTACTAGAACAAATTGCCAGCCGCTGCACCGGTTCCATCATTTCTGCAGATGCGCGTTTGACGTTTTGAAGCTCTGACTTTCAAACTTTGATGGACTTAGAACTTGTATTCAGGAATTTCACTTCAGGAGAACTTGGAAGTACTTCCATGGTTGGACCCCTTTGCACCCGCTTTACCCAGGAACTTTTTTCACCTAGACGTTGGGGCAAGTGGCATTCAGACCGTGCGTACTGTATCCCGAGTGTGGGTCTGGGAGGAACACGCAGTCGCAAAGAGGAATAAGAGAAAGGGCCTGGACGAATCAAGGGTGTCGTGAGTAGAAGTGGATGCAAAGCAGGTTCATTGCCTGTCCAGCAATGTACTAGCGAATGACTAAGTAATTGTTCGAGTCCGGTCTAGCATGTCAGGACCCTGGGTGGAAGAGGCTACAGTCGTGCATTGGAACTGGTGCAAATCAGCAAACATAACGAGACCACATTCACCGAACTTCACCACATCATCAACTCAACGCGTCACCACTGTACAAGTGACCACATCAATGACCTCAACTCAGATGTAAAGTCGTATACAGTTCCATGTAAATATGTCTGTGAACCGACATGGCCACAATGGACGCTGCTTTTGGTGGCCTAATGTTCGTTTCAGCGCAGCGGCCCAGCAGCTTTTGCGGTCCTTCACAGCAGATTGGTCGCCACCGATCCCCCTCCAAAGACGCTGGCGAACATCCTCACAAACAATGGAGTGGAAGACTTTGAGTGCACAAACCCAGCGTGTGTGTGTGTGTGTATATATATACATATAGTTTATTATATATATACTAATATACTAATAAATCATAGAGCTCTTCTTGAAGCTCCAGTTGTTCAATTTTCTAGTTCGAGCCAATTGAACATTCAAGCTTGGGACCATCCCTCTTTGTAAAAACTCGCAAACGGCTCCTTTCCCCTCATGCCCTACAGGTTACACGAGTTCCTATCCTCTGTTATACACTGTGACTCACAAGACACTGAATCACCATAATGCAGGCTTTCAGTTCAAAACGATTGCAATTCTAGCTACTCCACAACCAATGCACCTCTGGAATGGCTTCTGCAGCGGAAGAGATTTCATCCGCAGTGTCTTTGGTCACTGCGAGGGCTTTCAAATCCTGAGGGCACTGCGAGACAGCCTGATCCATAAGGTGTTATTTGCCAGCAAATTCCTAAACAAATGTCGTTGGAAGAATGAGGTCAATGAACCCTCAGATTCGTGTCATACACTTCTTGAGCATTCTAAAGTGGTAGATCAAACGCAGGAACTCCTGTTTTGATAAAATTTCTTTAAACATCAAGACCAAAAACCAACAGGAAAGTGCAGGCGCAGCACCCACCTTTGCAGGTTGGTTTTGTTTCGTTCGTGAGTCTTTGTGCGTGACCCCCAAGGTCACCAACATGTAAAGAAATTGAATTGTATTAAAGAAACATGACCTGCTTTCCACAGGTTCCAAGCAAGTTCAAAACAATCTCGGCAAGGCACTTTGCGGCTTTGTGCTGGCTTGAAATCTCGGAGTTCTAAATCCAGCCTGCACCAGCTTTAGTCACATTTGTCACCAGTGTCAACAGTGTACCAGTTGCCCTTTGTTGGAACGCTAGCAATGTTTGTCCCTCTTGAAAAATATTCAACCGCTTTTGTCGCATGTCATAATCTGCTTCTACAATACAACGCACCAACTGCATCTTGATGAGTTGTTAGTTGTTGGCCTCTCAACTCCAAATCCTGCTGACCGATCCTTATGATGTCTTCGACGAGATACTCTTGCAAGATCTCCCAAGGACCCTGAGCAGCATGAAGGCCATCCATAGTCAGCTCAACCGGCAAATGATGGGTGCTTAAACTTATATTGTCCTTCAAACCAAACCTGAAAATGCACATGTTACTTACAACACCTTCAATCTACAACCATGGGGCAAAAAAGGTTCGCACACCAGGCAAGCACAGAAAGTTCAAAGCTCATGAGTAGTAATTCTTGTGCTTGGGTGGAATGATGAACATTGTAGAGCCAACTCAGCGGAATCCGGATGAATCCTGTCCATCCAGAAAAATATTGTCGACTCGGGCCAATCGAATCCAGCAAATGGAACGAATAGAGCCAGGACAGCCGAGAAGCGGGTTGGTTATCTTGAAATAGCAAGGTTTGAGGAAAGGAATGCACAATGCAATAGCAGGGAGGAAGTGGAAGCGTGGCTGAGGGTGATACTTGATAGCACATTCCATTGGGGAAAGGAAGCGCAGGATGCTAAAGGACATGGATTGGCAGCAGCAGGACATGTAGGCAAGGAAAATGAAAGGATAAGAAGAAAAGGACAAGGATTTTTGGGGCGTGTCAAATCTGGGGATGATTATATAATATAACTATATACGGGGAAACAGTGCTCATGAGGGGCCCCTTTGTGGCCTTCTCAACCTGCAGCTGTTGAATGATAAACAACTAAACAAGGCATTTATCAATTTGAAACCCAGCATCTTGGAGACCAGATTTGGTGATTTGTGGCTGGCTTTCTTGTGAGAAAGAAAGAGAAAGGGGGAGGAGATTGGAAAGGCCATGAACAGGAATGAGAAGGAAATGGCAAGGAAAGAGAAGGAAGGGACAGGGAATGAAAAATTACATGGAAACAAATGAAAAGGAGGGAAAAGGGTGTTGGCTGTTTCATGATGGGGACACTACCCGATTCAGGGAGAAATCTGGAGGCAACCTGACGAGTAATGATTGGATCATGTCTTGCCTATGCGTGTGGGTCCTAACTTGATATTGACTGAGATGGACATACAACATATACGAATACTCTAAACACAGATTCACAGACCAAACTTGATCTCTGCATAAACCCGAGCCTTTAAAACTCGAGAGTTTTGAGCTAGTCGTACACTTTCTTGCATCGCCAGCTCGAGCAAAGGAACCTCCATTGGCCATGTGAGGAGCAAGAAACCAAAGCTTCTCTTAAACTTCAGTGTGCGGATTGAACAGAGCAAAATGATTCACAGATTCACAAAGAGACCAGTGAACACTTGGAACTGGTACGAACCACAACAAGCAGGGCCTGCCTCTGCCTTTTTGACAAAGGAGATTGCACGAGAAGGACAACCTTGCACCTAGACAATGGCAAAACTCTAAACATTTGCCGTTGAAGGCTTTCTGTCAATTGGTCAGCGTCTTTTTCCACATCAGGAAGGAAGACTTGTCTACATTGTCTACATACTAACAAATAACTAATGTTCAGCAGCATCTACAAAGCACATACTCTTTGGCGTGCAGGCCCAAACATGTCGGTCAATCTTGGACATACAGCCTCTAGTCGAGTCGTAGATGGACGGTTTGTTCAAGCTTCAGTCCAAAAGACCGAAGCAAGATAGCAATGCCATACAATGCTTCAGTATCAGGTCTGATGTACGCCTATCTGAGTGTCAATCTCTCAAATGCCCTGGTGCGACAACCACTTCAGCACACCTCTCGCAACCAAGCGGCTGCCACTTGCAAGATCTCAGACGCATCCGCATCCTTGAAAAAGCTACCTCTCTTAACTTTAACTGAAATGGCAACAAATTTGAAAAAGCAAAAGCAAACATTCAAAGTTCCATGTGTTCCAAGATATTCGACTGAAAAAAATATGAAACACGTCGCTTTCACAGCCGAAAGTGCCTGCATGATCACAAACGCTTTCTCTCCTCGCTCGGGGCTCCTGACCCAAGGACTAAGACGGGCGAACTTGCATCTTGCTGTCATCAGTTCAACTGCATCTTCATTCTCGGTCCTGTGGACACCAAAGGTGGATGAAGCAACTTCAATACACTTGTAGCATCTGGAGCAGCGAGTCTCATCCACAAAGACTCCTCCAAGGAGGCAAGCAGTGCAGGCTCCCAAAGTGCATCAGTGGTTGGCTCTACACCATGACTCTCTTCACTGTTACCTGGTTCTTCCTTCACCAAAGAAACACGGAATTTGATATGCTCAAGCGAAAGTTGAGCATGTCAAGCTGTGGATGGTGCAAAAAAACAATGTATATATATATATATATACACACTACAAAATTGCAGATTCTGAATACCAAGTGGGTCCTGTGCAACTCCCCCAGTTCCCCTTTTGCTGCTGTCCTGGCCTAAGTCATCATCATCGCCTAGTTCAGACACAGGCCGCCCATTCTTTGCAATAATATCCGCAGCTGCTCGCTTCTTTTCCTCCTGCCAATGTTTTGTTCTGTGATTGCACTTCTGTTTGCCTGTTGTCTCGGACATTCGTTTACAATTGGAATGGAGCGTTGGGCAAAAGCCAGACACGACATCGGCACAAAATGCTGCCAGAGGTCATCACAGCTGCTGTACTTCAGCAGGATCTTCTCTCGTGCTTCACGAAAATCCTCCTGAACATGCTTCTCCAAAACACCTACATGTCTGTCAAACGTTCTCTTCATAGCAAGTATTGACACCCTGTGAGAGCCCTCCAGTGCCTTCAATGCTGTCGTCATGTCTCCATACTCCTCTCTCAGCTCAAGATCCACAGGTGCATCACCCAGCTCCTTCCAGTCACTATCGCCATTGGGACTTCAAAGAGATCGCATTCCAACCAGCTGAAGCCAAACAAATCCGTTCCCGGTTCCCCTCATGTGGCACATTCCAATCACAGCATCTTCACAAGGTCTTGGATACTGGACATTTCACCTTTTCACTTTGTGCTGCCATGAACACGACCTAAGTTGCCACATAGAAAAGTGTCTCGGCGTGTCTCACCTATGAATCTTTATCTGACATTCTTCGGAGTGACATGCATCTCACACAAGAGGAGATTGTGTCATGAAAAGTTTGCTTGATATTGTATTATCATGTGCAACAATTGGCAGTTGTTGGAAAAGCAAGGACAAGCTTGCCGTGTAAAGTCTAGACTGAAACAGAATCTTTACTGGGTCTACTGGTACCTGCTTGCAAATCTGGGCAAAGGTGTTTTAGTTTATGAGGTGAACAAACGCATTACAACCATAATTGTTCTGCGACACAAATACAAGAATGAAGGTCATTGCTTTTGTGGTCCGACATGCATCTCCTGAGCTTCAGTCAGTTGAACGATGCGGCAGTGCGCAGCAGCCAGTAGGTCAAAGGGATTTGTCCGCCCCTGTAAAGACCTTGGAGCAATCCATCTTTTCAGTCCGGCGTCAGGAACTGAGATTTCTTATTCGCCATGTAACTTGCTTTTTGCCATGGCATACTCCAGCAGTGGTATCCATGTTCTGGGTACTTTTGTAATAGCCTGCTCCGGGCAGCCAAGCCTGAACAGTGGGCAAAAAGAATCTAGCAACAGCATTCAACCTTTGTTCAGTCCTATGGCAAATCTGACAGGTAAAGGCCGACAGCAATGTGTACTTACTGGAATGTCCACCAAAGACCACGAGTTAAAGGCAAGGTCTTGGTTTCTGTATTGTCGCAATGGCAGCTTCCACAGCCAAACACAACAACTTTGCTGTTTGCGCGTGGCGCTGCATTGCAAGTCGCACAGCAATATCTAAGTCGGTGCCATCATTGCCTCCTTGCATGTAGACATGTGACCTCCTTGAGCGAAAGACTTTGGTGTGGAGTCGCACATTTCTCAGAAACATCCTCTATCTGGGTCGTATTTGTTTCTATGTTTAAATTTCAAAAGGCAAGAATTGAATGCAACAGAACAATTTTCGATGACTTCGCAAATTTGCAATAATGGCAAACCGTCGCCGAAGAAAGACTCTTTGGGCGGCTGTGTCCTGGTGCGTGGATCAACCTCGAAAGTGCCTGGTGCTGTGGTCGCGCATTTGAGGCAACCAGAGCACACCGTCTCGTCCACAAAGAGCCCTGCCCAAGTCTTGAACGAAAAATGACACCCGCGATTCCCTGAACGTGTCTTTGACAAATTTAATAAACGTGTGTGTGTGTGCGCTGCATGAGTCTGCTATGAGTGTGTGTGTGTATATATATATACAGATACAATGTTACGAACTTTTCTCGATACACACAAAGGGTTGCGGCCACGTCAAAAGTTGCTATACATGCTGTACACGCTAACTATGGTCAGTACTAAAAGTTCTTCACATTCCCTCTCGGTAGTGAGAGCGCTCAATTGCTATTTTAGTTCGTGTCTTCTGGGTTTTTTGGTCCTCTTGTTGTTTCTATGTCCTCTATCAGCCTTTGATATCGGTCTGTCTCACAGGCAACTTTGTCTGCTTGATCAAAGTCCCCTCTTCCTGTTAGTAACCAATGTTGTCGGTTCAAGCTGTCAATCTTCCTACACAGTCGACCACACAGCTGATTCAATTGTTCCTCTTCGTATTCCATGTTGTTCACATATTCTGCATTTCCTGGTTTGAATATCCTGTCGGTTGGTCCTTCTGAGGGAAATGCTCCTGATGTCGATGAGACTGTCGTGCAGTTGGCCTCATGTTTTCTAAACTCCTTCTGGCTAAGTAGTTTCCTGCATTGATCTGCCCAAGCATTTCATAGCTGCATACAGATAGGTAATCAACTTCTTGTTCTTCTGTAAAGCTTTCTCAACGAATTCTCCTGGCATAGCTTGTGAGATTGGCTAGCTGGCGTTGATCTTCTTCTTTCTGGTCAATCGTATACTCAATCTCCACCATTCTGAGTTCTGCCTCACTCACTTTGTTGAAGAGTAAACCTCTGCGTATGTGTGCTCAAAGTGCTTGTAAAGTTTCCACATTGCAAAGGCCATTGCTGCAAAACCAATGATAGTGATCACGACAATTGACTTTCCAGTTTCTATTGGAAGATCTCTGCACTGTTCAATCTCTCTTAAAAATACACTTGCCTCTGCAACCATTGGCTGCAAGCCCTCCAAAGTCACAATCCTGGCAATCACGTTGGCAATTTTGGTGACCTTGCTTGCAAAGTTCTTCTTCTCCTCACATGCCCTTCTCTCAAGCTCACCAACTCGCTTGCCCTTCATTGAGCCAATAATCAGTAATTTTCATCGGAAATCTGATTCTCTGGCCTCCAAGTGGTTTTTGGTATTGAAATCTGCCACGTTGCTGTCTGTTGGTACTTGTACCATGTTGACATCTTTTCTGTTCTGAATCCACAGCAACTTTCCATCTACATGTCTCACTTTTCCAACTCCTTTCTTCATCACAAGTTTGCGTGCGCTTGAAGAATCTGTGAAGATGTAATGGTCCACCTTTGTCCCAAGCGCAAATTCAAGAACTGAGCGAATGTAGATACCATCTGACGCTGAGGAAACTATTGCACGCAACCCTGCGACTCATGAAGATAGGCTAATCATCTTCTGTGTTCTGCTGCTACTGAATAATGGGCAACTGTTCAATGCATGGAATCCTCCTGATGTTGACTTTCTGTGGCTTCCGTTTCCACCCCAGTCTGAATCTGAGAATGTCTCCAAGCACCAATAGTGTTCACTCTTCTTCGCATGTTCTCCTCCTGTTTGTGGAAGTTCAACTACTAGACAATAGTCCATAGCCTTCTTCAAGTATCCTAAGAACTTCTTCAAATGATGAAATGACATAGTTGTTGGCTTTGCCATTCTTGAAGCCAGTTCCTTGACAGTAAATGCTACATCGTACCTTTCTTGACAAAGATAGATTCCTGAACCAACAATGCTTCTGAATAGGCTAATCCTCTCTGGGTCATTCAAGATCTCTGACTTGTCATCATCTGGACGGAATTGTCTGATGGTAGTTGTTGAAGTTTGATCTTGCCAATCTGCTCCTCAAAGCCTTTCAACATCTGCGGTGTAGTTACCTGGTTGGGCCCATCCCTCTCAATTTTGCTCACATTATATAGTGTCAAGCCTGTCTTGAATCTTGGGAAGAAAGATTTCATTGATGTACTCTGAACCACCTGTGAAAACCAAGTCGCCCACATGAATCAAAACGATGTCTTATTTCTTCCTAGGCATGGACACTCAGTACTGAACTTGTAATTGAGTTCCTCAGTGAGGTACTCTGTAAAGAAGTCAATCCACGCTGGCGCTCCAACTCTCTGTCCAGGTAACCACCTTTTCACCCAGAATTCTTCTCCTCTCAATTTCACTTTCAAAGGTTTCTCCTGTGGAACTTGCAAGAAAGCATCTTTCACATCAAGACAACCTAGCGCTTAAGAAAATGCTCCTTCTCCCTCTCTTGCTTCTTCCTCCTCACTGACTCGCTGCAAGAAGATTGCGGGTAGGAGTTTCAATACATGTCCTGAAGTTGCTGGTGAGAAAATGTCATCTCTCTTTCCTTCAGCGAAAGCAAGTTCTCTTGCAGCTAGTCTTGATCCTCTTTTCCATCTCTTGCTTGTTGTTCCATCTCCATGGTGATAAGGCTTCTTTCTCGGGCCATACGCATTGCGTGTAGTCAGGTAGCTGATACCTTCTGCGCTACCTTCTGGTCTCTCTAGCACTTGCATCTTCTGGAGTCTTTTCCCTTCAACTTCGTCAGCGACTCTATCTATCCACTCTTCTGGATCTTCTTCTGGCTGATGTTCTCCACTACGAAACAAACATTCAGGTCCATTTAGCTCATCCTCTTCGCTTTCTTCTTCTCCTTCTTCTTGCAAGTCCTCTTCATCAACTTCTGCAACTGGGGATAGCTCCTCATCTACACGATAGAGATCTTCCCCTCCAACCTTCGCCAAGTTGATCTTGAACTTCGTTCTTGAATCCTGCGATGGTTTTTTCTCATCACAGGACTTTCTTCTTCAAGCAAGTCAAACGCTTCGTATGGACTCGAAAGCGCGGATGATGACCTCATTGAAGATAGTATAGGAGTAATTGGATTGGGTTGGCGTGCTGGCAATGATGTAGATGGAAACACTTCTCATCTGCAAAGAGAACTTTCTGCTTCTTACTTGGAGTTTCTTCTCCACTAGACAAAGCTTCACCCGGGGTTTCCACCAGGGCTGGAATCGGTATTGGTTCTGGGAATAGTGCCTCCTCCTTCTCTGAACCACTTCCTCCTTCAAGAGCTTTTGCCATGACTGCTTCTGCATCTTCATCTTTGAACTTCAACATCGCATACTCTCGAATAATGTCTGTCTGCGCTACTGGCAAAGCTTCTGCTCTTCTCTTTGTAGCAATGATCCTACCTCCAAAGTTTGTCTGATGTTCCCGTGAATAGGCATTGAACCTTTTGTAGGTTGCCAAGTGCTTGGACCAATCCTGATCTGTCCTCCTGGTGCACTTGCTTAGCACTAATTGCACACCATCTGTCAAAACACCGGTATCTTGCCTTCCCACTTTTCCCAAAGAACAAGCTTAGACGTCGTCGAGCTTCTCCTTTGTTGAGACTTTTGATGTAACCGTGAACTGCTTCTCCATATTCTGCTAGAAGTCCTTTGTAACTCTTGCCATGGACGATTTCATATGGAGTGGCACCTTTGACTGGCTGAAATCGATTCAACACCCAACTGGCATGTCTTGCTGCCCATGTCCAAAGCACGTGATCTGACCCTATCTTGGCGCCAAGTCCCGACTGCAAGCCTTCCGTGAAACTTCCTGCAAGCTTTCTCACCCTGTCAACTGTGTTCGCTGACAGAAGTGAATGATCTCCCAATTTTGAGGTGTTCAATCTTGTAGTAAGTCCTAGGCTGTGATGAGCGTCGATCAGCATCTTGAGGATTTGTCTTGTTGTGGGTTCATGGTCACTCCTGTAGGCGATTGCTGAATACCCGAACAATTGACTGAAATTCGTCAACTCTTGCGCAATGAGACGACATTGATTCTTGTTTTGTAACGGCGCAACATGAATGTATCCAGTCTGGCTGTTGGTTGCAACTAGCCAACATACTGCTCTTGCTGACTTGGTTTCTGAACCTCTTGCTCTAGTGTAGCAAAAGTCAAGGCTTACCTCGGGAATACTTCCTCTCTTTACTCCATCTGTTCTCTCACGGCGATCTGAATGCGCTCGATGCTCAATGCAATCTTTACACCAATTGGCATACGGTAGATGCGTCAATCTGCGCCTTGCTTGAGTGGCTTCATCTGGCATCTTAGCCACACTTTGTCCTGGCGTCTCTTGTCTCTTGAGCTTTTGCATTACTCACCAAGCTTTTGGCGTTCAAAAGTTCCATTCTCTTGTTGTGATTGAGGATCTTTGCGTAAACCTTTAGCTTACTGTAGAGTCGCTACCTGAGATGCCGAGAAATGAACACGCAGTCCTCAAAGTTGCTACAGTGGAACCCTTGTCAACTCTACCCATTCACCAAGATTTTGTCTACATCCCGTGGGCTCAATTGCAACTGACCCTCGAGGTCTTCTTCTTTCATATCTTCTTCTTCCTTGTCTTCGACCTCCTTCTCCAGTGGGGTAGGGGTAATCTCCTCGATTGCCTTCTCCTCTTCTTTCTTTCTCTCTTCTCTGTTCTCAAGCTTCTTGTATCCTGGTGCAAAGGACCCCATATCTTCTGGCGGCGCTGGCTCATAGCTGAAGCTTGTGATTGAAGGAATGACTGCATCATCATCAAAAATTTCTCATCAAGTTCCTCTTTTTTCATCACGCTTTCACAATATTCAGGCATAAGCCATCTGCCATCTACCTCCCCTTTTCACCAAAGTGGTTCTCATCAGCTCTGGTGAACCTTCCAATTCTGGACTGAATGTGGGGTCAACAAATCTTGAAATCAATAAGCTTCCAACTAGTAGGCCAGGCCTAGTAGGCCACGCTCATTGAATCTCCAACCTGCTGCCTTTTCCAAAGCTTCAGGTACTTTGGCACCTCCAAGCAGCTTTCATCCGCATCTCAAATGACTCCAATGTGGCTTTGCACTGCCAGAGAGCGATTTGGCAAGTTGAGTGGTATTTTCAAGTCACCGTTCACCATTGATTCCCCAACCATGTTCCATCAGTCTTCCATACCATTCATGGGCTGGTTCACTTTTGAACTGAAGATCACATTCTCTTTGGGAAGAACTTCACGTCCATCGACGTCACGCAAGGAGATTTCTACACTTTTCGCAGACGCGATCCCCTCGGCATCTTGTAGTTTGGTAGCTGAGTTGACTTCGAGCTCTCCTTCCCCATGACCTGCCAAATTCAAAGGGAATAGAGCTACAATGATGGCCACTCACTCTTCTCCAAGTCTTCTAACCTTGGATTCCTCATTCTCAATCTCCATGGCGCTTCCCTCAATGGGGTTTTCTCCTTCTTCGCACTGGCTCATCATCATCATCATCACCATCATCTCCAATGTAGAAATGATTTAGTCGAATACCATGATCTTCTGCTTCATCATGTCCTTCTCGCAGGTCAAAGATGATTGGCTCACCGTTTTCAACCCGTCTGACCACTGGTTTGGTATCTGCTGAGCTACGCTGACTCACATTGGCTTGCTGTTGACCAACTACACGAATAGCCACTGAAACTCCTGAACATGAATGGGCTGTATCACTTGCAACGGGTCGAATATTGTTTCTCCAACAGCCTTTACCTCTGCCCTTGTGATCACCCTCTTTTCCTTTCTGTTCTCCTTTGCCTTTCTTTCCTTTGCCTTTGCTTTTGCGATAGTCATTCTTGCCTTTCTTACCTTTTCCTTTGGTGTCTTGAACTCGATCAACGTCTTAGGCATGGGTCATTGATAGTCTGTACTGCTACTTGCAACCATTCAATTAGCCCACTTCTGCTGAGAACGATCCCACGGCAACACTTGTCCCCTCCAAGTTGAGTATTGAACATTGTCTCCAATTGTCAAATTTAAGGATGATTTGAGCTGTCCACCTACACATCTCAAAAGAATCGCAGATTTCAATTCTCCTTGACTTGTCATCCCTGCCTTGGCCGTCTCATCAAATACCTCTTCAAGCTTAAGAAGTTGAGGTTGTAGAGCGTTGTTCATAGAAAACGCTGGGCATGTAGTGGCCGTCACCCTCACGAGCGCTAATCCTCTTGCGAAGTAGGTTCCAAAGCTTTGTTCAAACTCCTCCAAGCATCAAATCCATTGGAGTCCTCCACAGCTTTCACCAATTCTAGTGTTCTAGTGCCTTGTCCCTCATCAGCGAAGCGAACAATCCATAGTCCATATCAAAGCTCTCGTTTGGCTTATCACGAATCTCTTTCAAGTCCTTCGTGTAAGCCTCATCCACTGAACTAGATTACTTCTCAAAGACCCATGAAAACTCTCTGAACGCTTTTGGATTCTTCTTCTTGCGATTTGCGATCAAGAAGGTTGGATTTGTAATCAACTTTGACCCATCTGTTGCAGTTGTTTTCTTCTGTTCAACTGCTTTCTTCACAGCCTCACGCTGTACTCTGCGCTATAATTTGAAGGCTTTCCCTGATCTCATCTATCTCTGTCGCGCAATAATGTCCTTCTGACACAATGTAAGGGGTAGAGAGTGCAGCTCACAACAATTTATCACCACCCCACCTACGTGGGTTCCAAAGGCACCAAATCTATGGCTCGCAAATGCTCTTGGGATCCCAGTGACCAAGGGGGCTGCCCTTATCCTCGCTCCGCTACCATCGAACTTTCTCGGTACACACAAAAGGGCTGCGGTCAGGTCAAAAGTTGCTGTACGCGCTGTACATGCTATGGTCTGTAATATATAAATATATATATATATATATACATGTTGCGCATGTAGGAACTGACGAATTGTGAAGAAATCTGTTAATTTTAAGGGTTGCCTGTGGCATCGCGTGGTCTTGATGAACAATCGTTCCAGGCCAAAACTGACAAAACACGAGCCAAGCGCTTTCGGTTCCAACACGCTTGCTTAACTAAACCAGTTCGTCGCCGATGCCCAGCCTTCGGAAAGCTTGGGGCTTGCCCATTTACTTGCAGCCAGGTTTGATAGCCTGCTGCGCCGGAGGACTGTATCCTTGGGCCCGAACACAGTTCATTGTTGCCAATCCACATTAAATTTCAACAGTGTGTGTGGGTGCGTGCAATCCTTGGAATCATAGGAGGTCTATGGGCGATTTCAACCTGCGCGGGGCACAGAGATTGATTTCCTACGAGCGCTAACGAACCTACGGAAATCAGTTGGAAGAGAGTTGGGACGCCAACTCTTTGGGCGGCGGTGTTTGGCAACAACGTTCCACTTCTCAGTGAATCTTGAGGGCTGTTTCCAGGTTTGGAGAGGTCGCGCTGCACACCGTGGCTCTTCAAGCTTTGAACTTTGAACCTGCCTGTGGAATAGACCGACTTGCGCACTGCTCGATATTTAATTAGGTTTCTTTTTCCCCGACGCCTCGTCAGGCCTGGCGAACTCTAGATCGAACACGGCTTTCCTTGCGAGAGCGCAGAGTGAGCCTGGGGTGAAGTTACCACCAGGGTGGTAGACAGAGAAGGCCATGGCGGCCGTAGGAGCCAGCGTCACGCAGGCAAAGGTCAATAGTAAATATACCAGCATAGACCCCAAACAGTTTCAAAACGATTCGTTTGGACCCATATTAATCAAAAACGATTTCTTGGTACGCCCTACCTTCCCCCAACAGCAAACTGCTTTATCAATGATTTGTCGGCATTGACGTCGCTGATTGTTCGGCCGCAAGACAGGACAAGAGGAGGACCAGACCCGGCCACAGAGCCCGGCGACAGCCCACACAGCCCGGCCACATCATTTCATTTTTGTACAGACGAACCGCAGGGGGCACGGCGGCCGTTCACCTAGCCGTGCTAACAAAGCTATGGTGTTCGGTTGGATGAGATACTGGACGCAGTATCTTGTACCTGCAATTTTTTAACATTCATTCATTGATGCTTCTAAGTCAGTTCAACGCTGTCTCATACGTTGTTTTGCAGTAAAGTGCTAATGCTCTCGGCTAACGCAGTAACTAACCTTGAGGTGCTAATGCTCACCGCGAATAGCCTGAAGACAAGCTCCACAGAGCAACCTTCTCAAGTGTGTTTCGCAGCTTCTTCCCACTGTGGTAAGCTGTGTGAACCCTACGGGGCGCCGTTACCGAGAGAACCTTCTCACTCCTCACCGTGGGAGTATATAATTTCTCTGAATGTTTCTGAAGTTCTTCCGACTGAATTTTCTTGCTCGAAAACAGCTTACTTGGAATGTCTCACCTCGTACACGTGAATTTCACTGCAGAGTTCACTGACAGACTTACTGAATTTCACTGCAGAGTTCCACTGAATCTTGTTTCACCCAGGAGATGTCTTTACCAATTTTTCAATTTTTTGACAAAGAGCCGATTCGGCTTCTCGGACAGTGCCTACGGGAAACTGCCGTTCGCTCGCAAGAGCGTCCATGGACCTTGAGTCCGTTTACCCTACCCTGCACCCCCTGCACCTTTGCTTGTCTTTCCTTGCCTTTTCGTTTGTCTTGTTCCTTCCTTCAGGCTTTTTAGGTATGATCCAGGCTCGTTTAGTCAACGCACGCCCTGCCCCCCCCCGCACCCCCTGCACCTTTCTCTTCTTTCCTTGCCTTTTCGTTTGTCTTGTTCTTTTCTTCAGGCTAGTTAGGTGGCAACCAGGCTCGTTTAGTCAAAGCAGCTCTTGAACGCCAGCAAGCCTTTTATCGCCTGTCACTCAAAAGAACATTGCGCTGCAGCGTTGCAGCCCCGTCGAGAAAAAGTTGGCTTGCTTGCTCCAACCTGTCGAACAATACTCGATCGCTTGCAACAACCTTTCGAAGGGACCTATTCTAGCTATCTATTCTCACCTGAGACGGTTTCTTCATTTCATTTTTGTACAGACGAACCGCAGGCACGGCGGCCGTTCACCTAGCCGTGCTAACAAAGCTATGGTGTTCGGTTGGATGAGATACTGGACGCAGTATCTTGTACCTGCAATTTTTTAACATTCATTCATTGATGCTTCTAAGTCAGTTCAACGCCGTCTCATATGTTGTTTTGCAGTAAAGTGCTAAGCTCTCGGCTAATGCAGTAACTAACCTTAAAGTGCTAACGCTCACCGCGAATAGCCTGAAGACAAGCTCCACGGAGCAACCTTCTCAAGTGTGTGTGGCTAGATCTCTATTTCTAAGAGAGAACCCCAACAGTAAACTGTTTGGAAATTCTTTTTTGAAAATAGAACCTAGACAAGACAAGGACAGGAGGACAAGACCCCGACACAGAGCCGGGCCACAGAGCCCGGCCACACAGAGCCCAGCCACAGAGTATACAGAGTTCATGGGCGCGGCCAGGGGACAAGAGAGGGACAAGAGGAGCGCAAGAGGAGGACAAGACCCCGACGCAGAGCCCGGCCACAGAGTTCAGGGGCACCACGGCCAAGACAAGGACAAGGAGGACAAGCCACAGAGCCCGGCCGCAGAGTTCAGGGGCGCGGCCAGTGAGTGTGGCCAGCTCTGTTTGTTCTAAGATGGAACCCCAACAGTAACTGTTTGGTGAAAAATTCGACGACTTGGCATACTTGGAGCAGGGCCTCTACCCAAAATTCATCCGTAGAACAAGAGCCGCCAGCGTTGCGCATGGCAGAGCAGACAGTAGCGGTCGTATTTCTAATCGCCTAGTATGCACAATTCCCGGCCTGTAGAACACATAAACAAGTCAAATTGCCATTGCCCTACAGTGACAGTGGGGTGACAGTGGGGTTTGGCCCAGTCCGGGTAGTTCCCCCTCATCTCTTCCCCCTAGGTTTGCCTTCACACACTTTTAGTCCTCAAACAATCGACCAGCGCGTCGGAAGCAAGACAGAATTGGACCGCGCCTTTTTGTAAAAGGGTCACACCTCAGCTAGGCGCAGCCAATCCCAACAGGTGTGAGTGGGAGGGGATGTCAGAGAAACACGTCAGCTCTTGAACAGAGGACAGAGGCCTGACCCTCTCCTTATGAGTCACAGCCTGCGAAGCGACGACGATGAAGAAGAGGATGTGGAGGGCTCTTCGTCGGACTCCAAGACTTTAGGCGTTAAGATTTAGCTGGTGGAATAGTATCCTAGTATCCGTAAGCTCGTAATCTGCATGAGCGGCGCCGAGCGAATGGCCACGAACACGCTGCACGCCAAAGGTAGTGGGGCAGGTGGGAACCTGAGCGCACCACTTTGCGGACACGACGTTTGGGGGCCACGTCCACGGGCACGACGGCTCGAGCGCTGCTGGTACCCAATCATTCGCGGCTTCTCAATCCGCCGGCGCTGTGATGGCTTGGTTCGCCAACGGCGTTGAAGGTGTCCGTTGCTTTGCCAAGGACGGCGGCTAGTTCGGCCCTTGCGGCTGCCAGTGATGCGCGAAGTGTGGCTTCTTGCGCTACATAGGCCCTAGGCCATGAAGCTGAGACAACGGCGCCTCGCATACACGAAGCAATCCGATCCCCAACAGCCAAACAGCTGGATGCACCACAGCTCAATCTGCGTGTGAGCTAAGTGGGCCGCCCCTGTGGCGCGCGCCGTGTGTCCTCTAAATTTCCGTAAACCGGCGTCGGTATACGGTAGCTCCACGGCTTGTTGCTGAAAGGCTGAAAGGTGTCCGCCCGGCAGCTTGCAGTGCGTAAGTTTGTTGCGGCATTCCATGGTGACACGTTCGACTTTTGCGTGCGATGGTTCAACTTCTCGTAGAAGCCACCGCGAAGCCAGAAGGGTCGCCCTATTTGGTCCAGCTGCAAGGCTTTGCGCAGATGATGTCAATGCCGCTAGCTCTGACATAGTAGGTAGAGGCTGCAAGGTCACTTATTAGTGATTACAGCTGCGCGGCAAGCAAAACGCGCTTGCCAGCAGGTTCCAAATATTGTTCCGCAGATCTGTACCCTGCTCGATCTAGAGCTCGCATAGATTTGCCAGATGAAAACTCTGGGAGAAGCCAAAAGGTGGGCCCGGCTTCAATTTGAACGCGTTTAGCTCTCTGAAGGTTGTCAAGAAAATTGAAGAATCACGCTGCCTACTAGGGTCCGCCGTCTTTATTTTGGTACTAATATATTGCAGAACGGAAAAACTCGTAGCGTCCCAACGCTTGATCCACTGTGAATTCCCGAGCTGCATGGCTAGTTCTTTTGACCTGGCCTTCCCTTCGCGATGAGGTAGAGAGCTCCTCAGCCTTGGCACGAACAATGGAGCAGTGAGCCTGCCAGTGAGTGGGCGTCGCATTAGCCAAATTTAGCGGCTAAGAGTAGGCATAGCGATTCCCACAGTGTCATATGTTTTGGTTGCCATTGATTAGCGCCAGTTCTCAAAATCAACTCAGCTGGCATTGGACAGTGGAAGTGTTTGTTCTTTCGACTCCTATACGCAAAGTGGAGGCATCCGTGAGAATGATCACTTGCAAGTGAGGTGTTCCGGAACGCCCGAAGCGTTCTCACCAAGGGCATCTGCTTTCCATTCAGCAGCGCGTTGATCCAATCCATGTCCTGCGCGGCGCGCGTGCGCAACATTTCTAGCGCTGAAATTAGCGCCGTCGTTCGTCGTTGCAAGCGCCGCCCACGGGGCGCTAAGGAAAGGTCTCATTAGCGGAACCACTCCTGCGATGAAAGGTGGAGCTTCTAGAGATCGCAACTGATCCATTTGACCTCCGTACCCACATCTGCTTCCTCTAGTTCAATGGGGAAGCCAGTAGTTATTGCGGCCCAACGTAAGCCGTAAAATGATTACCAGGAAGTTCTCGCGCTTGGGTTTTGTGAGTCGAACAGAATAATTGGGTCGTCCACGAACACCAGAACGTCGAAGGTCAACACTTGTGGGAAGTCGTTGAAATGCACAATGGCCGTAGTATAAGCTCTATATATGGTCCAGCGGGCATGTTGACGAACGCGTCCATAACGTCGATGGCAAAGAACGAGGAATCGCGCCTCCTTTTCTGAACACATCCAACGCATCGCTGACCACGGCGCTAAGTTTTGGGAGCAGCACCCTTTCCCCGTGCGAGCAAAGTTTGTTGACTCCACTTTCTTTCAGGTTCCAGATATTTCTTGCTTTCTGTTTCCCAGCCCTGTCCTTCACAATGACGCCCAACTTGTTGAACGTGGGTTTTGTTCCAACTTTTGCCGTGGCCTTTTCAACCGAATTCGAGAGCGAACAGAAACCTTTCTCGATAGCTTCTTGCAGAAGTTGTTTCTTGCAGAGGTGTTTAAATCGTTTTCGAACTCGTTCGCCAAAGGGTGATTGTTCCATAGAGTTGCGCAGCCTCAATGTTCCAACCGACCGAAATAACTGGTGGAAAAAACCCTGTGTTGGATGCGCTTGGGATAGGCTCCGAAAACCCCAACAGTGCCTTGGTTCTGAGCCAGGACGCAAGCGTCGTTAAGTCCGGGTCCCCTGTTGCCTTTCCCCACGCCCAGAATATTTCAGGCTGAAACAGTGTTGTTGCTGCTGCAGTATTGGAAGGTAACCCGTCCATGTTTGCATCAAGTATGTCGAGAACCCGTTTCCGACGCTGGTCAATGAGTGCGGGTTTGACCTGCGCTTTCAGATTCATGCGGCGATGCCTCCGTGAGAAGCTCCCTGATCGTGCTTCCCGCACCGCCAACGGCTACTTCATTCTCAAGATCCCTCTCTTCCTGCGCTCTATCTTCCAAGCGTGGTCCGAAACCCGGTGCAACTTGGGGTCACTTCCTATGGGTATACCCGAAGCGAGCTCACCGCTGCTGGCTTGGTGGATGTTGATTGCTCTGTCCGTTGAGACCTCCACCAGGGGTCGTTCAGCTGCGGCCCCACAAGTTCACGCAGTAGGACATAATGATTGTTGGCTTGGTGGCTTCTGCTCCGAAGCGACAGTGGTCGAAACCAATCACCTCAAGGGCGATGTCTTCCACTTCCACAGGTCCAGCTTGTCTCCGTGGTCTGGGCTCGCTGACGCCTGTATCTCGCCCAGCCTGGCTGAGAGTGCAATCATCTGGGTTGCTTCCTTCAGCAGTTGTAGTTCGGCCTCCGTGAGCTCTTCCGCCGGGAGTCCATCTGGAAAGGCCCTGGACCTTAGTGGTCGTGGGCCCGGAGGGTTTTCCCGGAGCGGAGATAGTGTCTCACATGAAGTTGCACTGCCCAACACGTCATACATGTCACGTTCTACATGCATCCTTCATGATATACTGGAGGACCTCTGCCACTATCCAGCCTTCAGCGCTGAGGTAGTTGGCCAAATCACCTGCTCAGTGTCGGCCGCTGAAAAGTAGAAGGCACCTGGCTGTGATCCATATACCGGAAGCTTCTCAGACTTCCTTCGGAGTGGGGTTCTTATCGCTCCCTTCGACTTTTCGCTGGGCGCAGCTGAGGGGTCTTGGTGATGAATCCCTGAGCGTCACTTCCTGCGTTTTCTCCTTGTTGTTGCCAGCCTTGGGTGGAATTGCAGGAAGTTGATCTGGAGAATTGGACTTGGTCGTCCAGAAGAAAGCCTGGCACCAGGGCCATTCAGAGACTCACCCTGTCAGCTCTTGAGCCAAAATTGCCCAACAAGTGGTGTACCCTCCCTCAACACCCCTTCTGACACCGTCTAGTGTTACAACCCCAAATCTTTGCTCTCCACTTCTTTTCATGTCTTTCCCGCCCTCATGTCCGCTCATCCATTTGCGGCTGCCTCCCTCCTTTGCTAGGTCGGTAGTCACAAGTTTGTAGCTGAGATTGGGAACCCTTCGTTGACGGGCTGAACTTTGGTGAGACCCCGTTGAACTGCCCGTGACATACCCAGTCCACGTCGATTACCCAGGCTGGGTCAGGGGTGGCGCAGCATGCCAGGTTCAATGCCTTCTCTGTCCTTGGGTTCTCTTTAGGTCTATCTGCTAGTGGTAGGCGGCTTTGTTCCTCACGAGTTTGCATGCCTTTCCTTCTTTCCTTCTTTCCTTCCTTCCGGCCTTTCCCTCTTCCTTTCCGTTCCTTCCTCTCCCTCTGTCTCTCCCTCTCTCTCTCTCTATCTCTCTATCTATCTATCTATCTATCTGTCCCTCGACATCACGGGTTACAGTAGCTTTTGCAAGTTGGCTTCTTTTTTGCAAACTTTAGCAGGGGGGCAGCGCAGCCATTGCGCAAACGTATGCAACGAAGCTAGGGACATAATCGTGAAAACCGGACTTGAGTCTTGTTCCAGTCACATCCCACTCTGATGAGGGTCGGCAAACACTGTACCATGTTTGAGTCGGAGATTGGAGCTTGAGATCTTGGCTTTTCCAGTTGGAAATCTGTGTAGCCTTTTTTTGAGGAACACCTTTGGAGGCTTTGATGGAATCTGAGTTTGGTCTCACTCCTCCTACCCAAGGCACTTCATTACGGGACCTATATAGGTTGCCTCTGCCAGTGATTGATTCCCAAAGTGTGCACATGTATATTTCTATACATATAATGTGTAAAATTCACAAATACTGACTCGTCCTACATGAAAATACCACTTGCACAAAAGGCTTATTGGCAAGCAAGATTCATAATCAGCCCTCTGGTTGTCGTCACTCAGCGTCCGATAAGCAGTGTTGACAATGGCCTTCCGTGAGCAAGCTGTCTGCTCGCTTCCGCTAGTACAGTAGGGCGTGCTTGATGCTTGAACAGTTGAAGCACCACGCGCTTTTCAAGAGGCTGATGGATTAAAGTCCAAGTGGTTGCAAATAATGTTGAATCAGCAAATAATTCAAGTGGTCGCTTCACTCCCGCCTGCAAGTCCCCAGAATCGGGACCCAAAATGTCGGGGTGCACAAGCTTCACTGTGCGCCGATGTGCTGCCTGGCTCCAAGGAAATCCCAGGAATATACAGCCCAGGTGAAACAGCTAGAAGGCCGTGTCACTGATGCCCCCCCTGCCCCGCCAAAATGCTGACGAACAACCGCTGTTTGTATTGCGTTGAACACTATGCCAACGGCACCTTAATCTCCTTCTTGTCTGCTGTATATGGCGGCAAACCAAGCAATCCGTAGAAGTCCTCGGGTAAGACAAAGAGAGGGAGATTGCTGACTGCCGACTCGATCTGTCAAGCCCTTGTTCCTGGAGGCACCAACCATGTTGAAGCATCCAATTCCATAGACGCCGTCAAAGACCCTTCTTAGTGCTGTTGATGCCCCTCCAAGAAGAACAAACAAATTGTGCAGTCCGCATCAAATCAAAAAGCATCATACAACCTTTGTCTGTGCGGAATCTATCTTTGAGCCGTGCAATCCTCTTTTGAATGCAAACGCATGGATAATGGATATGTTAAAACTCATGACGGTTTCAATCTTCTTCAACAGGCCCCTGTCAGGACTCGTTGGGCAAGCATATCTCCATCCCATACCATGCCCACCAATTAACTTCAATTGGTTCCCTATTTACTCCCTCCATGCGTCCGTTGGAGCCAACTCTGCATACATGCGGATGTTTCGGCGCGGTGTTCTCCTCACACGATGCAAGGCTAAGGCCTAAGTCGGCGAAAAAAACAATTCTTACAAGGCCAAAGAAGAAAGGAGCTACATAGAAAACAAGAAGTACACTCAATTCCATGCAAGCGCATGGCAATTGAACTGCAGCAAACGCACCTCGATGCACCATGGAAAAAGGCCAGAATGCCGCGAGTCTTGCAAATTCTTAACTTGCCAAGAGAAAGGTTATATTGCATATTTGCAACTGCTCTTTCGATCTTTTCATCGCAAGCGAGGTTCAAAGCGATAACAAAAGATAATCATTTGGCTTTGAGTTCCCTAGTAGTCCATTCGGTTCATTTCCGGTGGTCAACCAAGGTCCCCGGGTTTTGACCCCCAGCCACTTGTACGTCTTCCGGCATTCAATGCGGACAAGGCTGCCGGCAAGGCAGCAGTTGCCAGCACCACACCCACCATACAGTGCTTGCCCTGCAAACGATGCCTGCCCTCGAGCTGACATGTTGTGCACGTCGGTGGCACGAGCGGCGGCCAGGCAAGCGCTGTCAGCGCCATGGACTGTTTGACTTGACCGCTGTGCTTTACTACGTTGATGCATCTTGCTGAATGCAGTGGATGCAACGATCAAACTTACAATGGCTGGGTGACTCCTTTCAGCTCCTTTTGACGAGGTAAACCGAATGACCAATCTCCTTGAAGAGTGGCACTTCTCAAATGGTGCGTGGGGTGCTGAGAGAGCATGTATGCGGCAAAGTTTGATTTGTTTGCCTCGTTTTTGAGTTCACTTTATCTCCGGCGAGAAGCTGGGGATAGGTGCAAGCTGTGATCCAAAACAGGTGAAGACTCCATAAATTTGACCATGGTCAGTGTTGACTCTTTCTCTCTCTCTCTCGTCCAAATGCTGGCCCCAGCAATCGTCATGCATGATGTAGAAGCTTCTAGCCTGGGTTACGTGGCTTTACGGTTTTACAATAGCTTTGTACATATATATACATATATGTATATAGATAATACTATATACAGCTGTGGAAAATGAAGGTCCATTGACCAGCATTTCAAATCGAGAAGTGTACCAATGAACGCCGCCTCAAAGCAGTTCGGCGGTGGACCCTGGGTTGCGTCGGAAAAAGTCCGATGCTGCGGTCCTTAGTGGTAGCGGAGCAATAAGCTCCAGGTAGATTCTTGTTTTGGCCATGGCGGCCGACGGACGCGCGCAGCCGGTTCCTCGCAGCGATGGAAACGAGGATGCAGATGATGGCCCTGCAGGGGCAGGCCGGAGGGAGCCTCGCGGAAGGGGCACAGATGGATCCCGGCAGGAGCCGGGATGTCGGATGACTTTGATAGTGATGAGTTTCGAGAGTTTTTGAGGATGAGAAGACATAGAGTACGAAGCCATGGAGTTTGTCGAGGCGATGATCATGGAGGGCTTCGAGGAGAAGAAGATGGTGATTGGAAGGGCGGTGGAACCAATTCCAAACCGCCAGAGTGGGATGGAGAGGCCATTTCTTTCCAGGATTGGCTGATCAAAGCGAGATTGTGGTTAGCCACGACGAAAGTCCGAAAGAAGACCCAGGGTCCAATGATTTTACAGGGACTTTCAGGAGTGGCGTTCCAGACCTTCAAGCACTGGGCGAAGGACGTGGAGTGGCTTCAAAATGAGGATGGCGGCTCGATGCTATTAGAGGCCATGAACCTGCCGGAGAACTTCGGAGAAGATCGCGATGAAGACCTTCTTAGTGCCTTGGCAAAAATTACATATCACCTCCGCCGAGAGCGGAATGAAGAACATCGAGCGTTCTTCAATCGATGGGAGGAAGCCCTACGTCGGGTTGCAGAACATGGAGTGTCGCTTCCCGACCAGTACAAAGGATTCCTACTGGTGAACGCAACGGCTTTGAGTGAACAAGACATCAAAGGCATGTTGAATTTCACTAGAGGAAGCATCGCCACCAAAGACGTGAAGGAGTGGACCCGGAAGCATGAGACGAAGCGGAGGTTGGCATCGAGGTCCAGAAGAAGAACAACAAGACCACTTCAGGGACATGTCTTCGACTGCGATGCACCACATAATGGCCGAGGACCAGAGCGACTTCCAAGACGAAAACGAGATTCTGGAGGCCGTACTGGAAGAGCTAGATGGTGATGCAGAGAATGTCCTACCAGAATTCGATCAAGATGGAGAAGACGAGCCGATGGAAGAACACGAAATTCGAGAAGTCCTGAACACCATGTTCCAAAAGCGCACCTTCAGCCAGAGCCTGAAGTTGAAGAAGGCCAAGGAGTTGGCCAGGGGCTATGGAGGATGGAAAGAAAAGACAAGGAAGATTATCGATCAAATGAAACAAAACAGTCGGTGGGCCATTTGCAAGAAGATTGGCCATTGGCATCGAGAATGCCCTGATGGAAAAGGAAGAGGAAAAGCCGGGGCGAAGGAGGCCTACTACCTGCAGAACTTGGCGCAAGAGGAGACCGATGAGGCCTACTTCTGTGGACACCTGGAGATTGACCCGGACCAATCTCCCATCGACCCGCTTGCAAAGATGAACGATGAGATGCTATTCAGGTCGGCCGACCCTGAAGACCAAGAGATGCGGGAGATCTGTTTGAGGAGACCTGGGGACGACTGGTCGTGGCCTGAGGCTCCCGGGGTTGAGACGGATGTGAAGGAAAAGTCTTTGATACCTCCCTCGGTGGCCATGCCTTCATCGTCGACAAGCCGAACTGAGCCAGTGAACGGGGAACACGATCTAGAAGATCGTCTTTTTGATGTGGTGTCCAGCTCCCACTATGTAGCTGGAAATCAATTCTAGTGTGCGGGGGAAAGCATCCGAGAATCATGGGAACCTAGAAGTGGCACGAAGGGAGTCCATCAACCCAGAAAGCAACCACGACCAGGACCTCAGATCCAAGAAGATTGCTGCACGACGATTGATAGTGGGCGCCAAAGGATGGCATTCGGGGCAGAAACACTATATCGTTTTGTTAAGCAGCTCCCACAGGACATGATGATTGGCACTCTTCCTCAAGAACATCGCTTTCGATCCGTGAATGGGATATCAACCACCACACATTTGGCTTCTGCCCCAACTAGTTTGGGCAACCAAGGCAGCATCCTACGTCCGGCAATCTTCAATGACGGAGAATCACGACAAGCTCCATTCCTGATATCACCCCCATTTCTCTTACATTGTCGAGCCGTTCTGTACTTGGATCCTCAAAAGGGACTCCGACTGTATTTGAGACGATTCGAAATTGGAGTTGGTTGTCATATAGGACCCACAGGAGCCCTTAGGGTACCACTCAACCAGTTCACAAAGGAACAGGCAGAGAGACTCCTCATGAGCAACTTCAACATCAATCCACAGAGTTTGAGATCATGAAGATGACGATGAAAGACGCTTTTGGCTCGAGCCACAAGGAGGATCGAGAACCGAGCCTACGATCTGCTGATTCACCTCCACCGCGCAGCCGAATCGAAGAGAACCAGTACACGAACGTCTGGATCAGGCTAGTGATGAAGCTCCTATTCGTGACGATCAGGCTGACCGAGCTCTCAATCCGATTGGTGATGGGGGAGAAGCAAATGACCGACGTCGAACAGGAGGAAGAGTGGGAAGCGGTGAACTCAGAACCAGGCTCACCGTTCAACATGTGGCCCAATCCTGGAGCGCAGAGGAGCCCACACTCCATTCTGTCAGACACCAGCACGACGAGGACACAAACCACGGAACACCCGTCGCCGAGCTACGCTCTATCCTCGGGGTCCGAGACACCATATGCGACGGCGAAAGCTTTTCCACAGATCAAATCCAAGGAGGCAGTCGACATGGAACAACTCAAGCTCAAGTCAAAGGAAGCCGTGGACCTGGAACAGCTCAAGATCGACTTCGAGCGTCGGAAGGAACAGTGCGCTCACAAGAGGACAACCAGAAAGGGGACGAATGCCTTCATCGAGATCGAACGGTGCCTGACTTGTGGGAAGACACTGAAGTCCGAGAGGAAGAATACGGACGCGGAGAAGATCAAGAAAGAACCAGCATCCATGGAGAAGACGGACTCCGAGATCGAGGAGGAGAAGAAGGAGTATCAAGAGTTCATGGAATTCCAGAAATGGAAGGAGAGCAAAGACAAGCAGAAGAAGAACGCCTTGAACAAGGTCTGAAGGCCATGGGAGAATGGAAAAGTCTGAGCGAAAAGAATCAAAAGGCTATGATCGCCTCCATTGAGATGGCAGGGAACTACTTGACGGAGATTATGAACCTTCTGAAGAACGAAGATCCAATTTGCGCCATCGAAAAAGACTTTGAGCAACTTCAGTCCAGCGTGCGAACCAAACGACAGTATGCTAAGATGATAAGGGGGTCCCCAAAGGCCGTCGTCGAGATTTTCAATCCACAGCGATTTGCCCGATTTGCGGTCGAGATCGGAGGAGTATATCTCTTGGAACAACCACTGACTTCCAACTCAAGGTTAGAAAGCACTCTTCAAAAGATTATGGCCAGAGAAGATTGCATCCTAGCCCAATGTGATCAGTGTCAATATGGCCTTCAAGACTATCATGGTGGAAAGATGAAGAAAAGTACAGGATGGATCACCAATAGTCAGCAAGTGCAACCGATTGAACAAGAAGTGCGATGGAACTCATGCACACACTTACACACTTTAGTGTTGGGATCCAGCGGAGGAAGAAGTCGAGCCTCTCAAGCACAGATCTACCCCAAGCCGCTGATTACAGCAATCCTGGAGGGCTACCGGGATGAGACGCAATACAAGAGACAACAACCAGTTACAGAACCTGTTCAATGGATGAACATGGCGGATTGCTTTCAGTTTGAAGAACGACTACGACAATATGAAAGCCTCTGGAACTGGTTCGTACAGGAACACCATGAAGAACCCCACTCAATCCAGGCCTTAGAAGAGAAGGAAGAGAAGGAAGATGATGAGGAAAAGACTGAAGAAGGAAAGAAGTGGTTACCTAGACAACCTAGAGAAAGACCATTCTCCACAGAACAATTGGTTCGAAGAGCCCATGAAGGACTTGGACACCCAGGAAACGACAGACTCGCCCGGATACTACAAGGAGCAGGAGCGTCAAAGAAAGCAGTGGAGCGCGCCAAGAACCTGACTTGTTCGATACGCCAAAAACATCAACTTGTACGACCTCCACGGGCGGCAGCTCCACCCAAAGAATTACCGCCAAACCACACGATTGGGGTAGACACTATTTGGCTGCCAACTCATGGGAAGAAGAGACGAATGGCCCTAAACATCGTACGCTGGGCTACTTGATTTCAGATGGTGATACCACTTCGAAGTCATACAGCGCCCGACGCTAGAAGAGCCTACTTAGAATGGGTGAGGTTTATGGGGGTGCCACAACGATTGTTCACTGATCTGGGCAAAGAATTTTGTTCAGCATTTCAAGACGGAGCGGAATTGGATGAGACCATTGTCGAACCGAGTGCCTTGAAAATGCCAACTCAAAGAGCAATCACAGAACGGGCCGGAAAAACCTTCAAGGAAATCCTGGTGAGAGCAATGGGCAACTATGCAACACAATCGGAGGCCGAACGGAGAGACCACGTGGA